ACAGCTATCTGTTCCTTCTCCTAAAGTAAACGTTACTGATTTGATTTGATTGTGTGTGTGTGCGTGACAAATACAAAGAGTTCAGAAGTTCTTTGCATAATACTTAGAAATATGTATGGAAGCTTTTTTTTGACATTATAGGAGTTGGAGTAAAAGTGCTCTATAGCAGTGGAGGGCATCGGGAATATTTTACATTTATCACATTGTCTTTGTTCAGCCATCTCTGTTTAGGGTCTGGCATCAGATAAGACATAAGAAAAGGCTTTATTGATTCTTTTGAAAAATCAACTTTTATTTCTAGAGCAGAAATCATCGGCCGTACTTTAAAGTCTCTGAAAGTCGGACTTGTATCTCCTTCTTCTCTTAAGTAGGCAGATACCTGATTAAGGGCCCATTTTAACAATATACAGTGCTAGAGTGGGCAGTGAAAGGAAAGAATCAAATAAATAGAGTTAAACATAACCTCGTCTTTGTTATCCATGGATGATAGCCCAGTTAATAAATGCTTTCTCACTGGGATGCTGGACTGGAAGTTAATGGTGAAACACAGCTACAACATACTCCAGATGCTCAAGTCAAGCACATGTATCACAACCATAACAGAAGCGGCATGCACAGAATGAGTCTATAAGGGGCTTATGTTATCCAGTTTGGGTTTTCTTCTTCGCTAACCCAGGTGTGAACAGCTATGTAAGCTAAGAATTTGGGGCAGAGAGAAGACTTGTTCATGTTTTGAATATGTTGCTTGAAGTTGGTGCTTACTGCTGGCAGGGTTTTATACACAGAAAAGGGAAGAGAGAAAGATGAAAGAGAAAAGATTTTGGCAGAAGCTGTAGTTCAGGCATGCAGAATAGATATCCTAGTCCACATAATCATAAAAGTGTGTCCATTTGCTAGACTTGCTACATATCTCTCTCTGGTTAGGTTTCTTCTGTCTTTAAATGTAAATGACATAGTATTGCCTTTAGACTTTGTGAGTCACTAGACCAGAGCAAAAAGAGTTCAGATATGAAAAATATGCTTTGTTACACTTGCCATTAAAGGAACAGTCTTATTTTGAGATAGCTGAAGTCTGAAATGTTTCCATAATAGATTTCTCCTCTTTTTCCGCATCCACCTACATTTTGTTAACTAAATCAAGGTAAAAATTAAGGGAAGAGTGGCAGAAATGAGCAGAAGTCCTTGACTTGCAGTCAGCCCATCCAGAAAAGTTTTTACAAAGAAATATGAGATTTAAAAATATAAGAATATAAGCTTCTCCTTTCCTGTGCCACAAAAATTCCTAAAATATATGACCTTGTGATGGTTAAAAGATAGCCGAGAGCCAAAGCTGGGCAGTGTTTTTATCACAGTTCAGCCATGTCATGGGTCATGTGGTTCAGCATGTGAACAGGAAGGTGAGAATGGGTGAACTTTTGCCTCAGTCGTGCAGTCCATCAGAGAATAAATGGACCAAATCGCTCTGCAGCTGTATAAGGAGGTGAACGGCTGAATACCTCTCACACAGAGGCCTTTGTGTTCTGGACATGATCTAGCATTATGATGGGACGCACTAGGCTGAGGCTTTGTAGCAATTACTAACCCATTATCACGCTAGAACATGAGATCATTTATCTTCTAATTCGGAGTGTCACCTGTTCTTCATTTACCAGTCAATAACCATTAATTACTTTCAGTGGAAATTTAAACAAAGCTTTTCCCCTCTGTTAAAACCAGTAAGCCATTCAGTAATGACAAATAAACCTGGAGCTGTATCTCCCCTTTTCCTCTCATTCTCAGCCTGCAGTCTGGTACGATATGAACTCTTAAAGGAAATGCCTAGAAATTGATAGGTCAAGGGCCTTTAATAGTCTG